CATGTCGTTGAGAAAGCTGTAGTAAAGTATATTGGGCCTGTAAGGTATTGTACTGAATTGACTATTCTGATGTTTGTTTCTGTTTCCCCACAGACTCAGTGAAGGGAATCTCCAGTTAATATGTAGTGCGATAGAGGAACTCTTTTCCAAACACAGCAGAAATGGTTAGTCGCATAATCAAACTCTGTATTAAAAATACGTTTTCTAATATTCTTCTTAGTATGTTTTCTAATWTTAGTATCTGAAGAAAACCAGTGTCGTACAGTGACTATTTATAATTAAGGACAGTAAAATATAAGTGTTTTTTTTTTCAATACCTCCTTGCGTACGCCTCCTTGCGTACGCCCCTTTGTTGAAGTACAATTTATATCTCGTGCAAAATCTAGGTCAAACTAATAGCACTGCTGCTATTAAACTTCAAAATGGTGATTATAGTTCCAGCAGAAGTTGTCACTGAACTAAACATTTATGGAAACTCCTTATAAGCGAGTAGGACGACCAACAATGCATATCGCATGGTTCGTGCTACTAAGTTATTTGCTATTCCTGGAAACGGACTCGATTTTCCTTTATCTTTGTCCTATACTACATACGTGATCATGTAATTTGTTATCACGCTTTTGATATCTGAACAATTTTCATTCGATCATAATTTGGTTATCGCGAACATTTTCATCGCAGTTTAATGTTGTTAACTGATCTTAAAGCCTGCTAAGATACGTTACTTTGTTTTTAGAAATGAATGAGCTTCTCACWAAAATCATCCTAGAATCTTGTGTATCTCCCTCGTTAATGCCTTCCAAGTTCCTAATGGAACATTGCTTGCTCGTTGCTGTGTTGAATAGTAACATTGGTATAGAAATAGGTAAGTCAAATTACAAATAAACGTTTGCTCAGTTTACTCAGTGATTCRYGCAAAATGTCTTCCTAGTTTTAGTATCGTGAAACTTACACAAAAATTACCAAAAAATAATACAAAGGAATTATTTATGGTCCTGGTTCAGATAAACCAAGTTTTTTGTCGATATCGATCCCCAGAAAATATCTGCGATAAACTGTATGCAAAACAAATATCTAAAATGAAGACATTTTATCAGTTCGAWCTCGAGAGATACAAAAAATAGGAGAACTTTGCGCTTGTTGGATTAAAATATTTCTGTCCTTGATTAAAGTGAGGYCATAAATCCGTGAAACAAAATTTGACTGTTAAGTGTGTACTATCAAAAAGGAGAAAGTAATGTAACAAGTTAATGGCTTAAAATATTTTGTTATATATATCAAGATAATCACTTATTTAGCCGTTATATATAGTCCCGCAATGGAATTTGAGCGTACTRAGGTGTATTAGTTAATATATAACTAATATATTAGTTATATATTAGTTATCAACGGTTTTTTTACTTCACTCTAATCCGTGAAACAAATAGTCGCCAGTCCGGAAGACTTGGGCACAGTCATTCACGGCAGTGAATGTCTTTTCCACGTTACATCCACGTTACAGTCAAGGTGGCTGACGATGTCTGTTCCACTGTAGCTTGAATCGCGGCAACTAATAAAACAAATAAAAGCATGTGCAAAGTCATTGGATATTTATGAYCTTTAAAAGGAATGTGATTAAAATATCAAATACACCGGAGAATTTCATTTGGCAGCAAACCAGGGCAATTCTGATTGGCTGTGAGGTCCATATAAACCAAAACAACACGGCCATTCATTATTCGAAAAAAATAAGACCAGAAACAGGGATCGCGACCCATGCATCTCGCACCAGTGACCAGTCGGGGTGCAGGGTACAAAAATTTAACTATTATCATTTCAATACCATAGTAACTATGTCAATACTAGTAGCAAAAAGAGAGGTCATGGGAATATAGTATAGATAKASAATATAGACATAGTGTATTAAATGTTGTCCCTTATGATATTTTAGGTGCTCACTTTACTCAAGCGTTAGCTGAACTGTTTGATAGTTTTAATAAAGGTGATAAATGTACTGGAAATGGCAAAAAGCTTCTCAATGTTGTATCACTTTTTTCACACCTTTACAATTTTAAGGTGAGTTTATAACTCTTGAGTAGAAGCATTTAATTTCAGGTTTCACCAAAAATAAAAGGTGTCGCAGATGAGGAACAACCTCTCACATGAATAACAACAATAATAATAATAATCTAAGCTTATAAAGCGCTTATAAAATAACAATAACAATTATTGTGGATAAGTAAGAATTAGTCTTATGCCGGTCACATCATGCATCCATCATCCTCTGAAAGGGCAAGAATGGTTTCCAAAATGACCATGGTATTATAGCAACAAAATGTATACAGTCGATCCCATTAACGTTGTTCAGATGTAAAGACATAAAAGAAAAAAAAACTTCATTTGCATAATTTTTTTTTTTAAATTCACAGGAATAACTGGACTGAACAACGTTTATGGGATTGACTGTATATGTCTGTCTTTTTTTAGATAATCTGTTGGGTCTTCTTTTCCCCCTGAATTTTTTTTAACATTAATTATTTTTCTGACAAAATTAGGCACCGAGAGGTTTCCTCATTACTTATGCCTTACAGTAACTAATCAATATTCTTTCTAGGTGATCCATTGTGGATTGATCTATGACATCATACGACGTCTAACCGAACGGTTCGAAGAACAAGATATCGAACAGCTACTATTGATTCTTAAAAGTATCTATTACAAGTGTTTCAAAAATAAAGTAATRATATAGATACTTATAGTCTAACTTATGTAATCATTGGTATTGTATAGGTACTGGTGCAGATATACGCCGAGATGATCCGGGATCACTCAAGGTTATTGTCATTTTATATTCAATTTGGTATATTACGCGCTCTTAGATTGGTCGAGTAYCATGCGTTGTTTAAATTCGCGACACATGGCGCCATTCAATCTYACGTGGRCTTTGATTAGTCACAAGTGCGCGCGCTCTGTTATCTCATCGTTTAACAAACAWACAAAAACAGGGAATATGCGCAAATTACCTAATTGTCATCTTTATCTCTTTAYAWCTAAACARCCTTTTCCGGGCTGACATTTCTTCATTATATTGCATCCCACAATTTATATTTGTAATATCGCATGAATTCTTCTAGGATATCATCCTTGAGCTTCAAGTAAAAGCAGCATCGGCTTGCGGTTTATCGAACGAGTAAGTAACCCAAACAACTTTGACTTGAGTGTTTTGGTTTTGCGGTATATCCTGAAAGACCAATAAATACAGATAATGTATTCAAGTGTTTAAAATATGACTTAGTTTGAACATGATTTGCGATAAACAGAAAGCAAAAACCCAACTCTCGAGATGCCATAAAATAGTAATAAACCCTTTATACGAAACGCCGTAAAATCGCTCTTTCTCCCTGGTTGAGACAGTCGCGTTTTAGCTATGCGATTGGTTTTGGAAGAGTCATAATTTAATGTTATTTAATTTTACAGCRGTCCAGCTAAAATAGAACATATTAGTAAATCTGAAAAAAACGCACATAAACGATGTAATCGTGTGTAAAACAAGAATATCCAATGATACTTACTGGGTTTAGCTTTCATCTTTTTGGAGGAACAAACTTAATTGAAATAGCCTTCAGTTACTGTTGCATTTGTAATTTTGTGTTTCTTTTATCTGTTAGTTCTCGTGTTAAATTCATGCTGGAGATTATTGCAAATATTCGCAACAATAATTTACGAAAGATACCAGGGTATGACCCATCGGAAGTAAATCACCTGAGGAAGCTACTTGGAAGTACAGTTAGAGACAGTGGTAAGACATCTCATTGTTTCGCTTATAGTTGCTTTGTTTGCTTCTTTATCGTTGGTATGTTTGAAGAGGTTCGCCATGTTTAGAAATGATAAACCATCGTGCTTATTTTTCAATGACCTATGCAAACRATCCTCTTCGGCTGCTATYTCGTCTTAATAACTCGATGATGTGGATACCGCGCAAACTTGACAACGATGCGGTGATCAAGATTTATTTTTATTGCAAGAAGTCAGAATTTTGAATTCTTTCAAGAATCTCAGTCGACGTTTGTCAGTCACGAGGCCAGTGAAAGTGAAAACCACACATACAATGCCTTCTTACCCTCGTTATTTTGCGTCTTCTACCCATTTTTGATACAGAMCTGCGATCGGGGTGGCAGGATTCTGAGACATTTTTTGCGTTTTTRGGAAATATACTTGAACGGAAGTTGAAAATGCGCAGACAATARGACCTGCATTTATGTTTCTCAAAATTGTACGGCTTGATTCCGCTYAATAGACTTCTGAAGCTTTTACGTCACCTTCTTGATTTGCAATGCATTGTGGGATCAGTTTCTAGGAARAAAAAAMAACAAAAAACAAAAGAGATCCGCCATGTTTTGTCCCACACATATCCTACMATGCATTGCGTATCTAGGTATATGRCGTAAAAGCTTMTGAGGTCTATTTTCGCATACGACAAATTTTGAAAAGAATAGAGCATGTTAATAAAATGATCTCGAAGAAAGCTTTGTCTATTACCTATAAATAAGTCAATAACTTTAATCGATCGAATKTTTTWAAAAAAATTTCGCTGTATAAAAACTCAAATTCGCCTAAATCAAAATCCCTCAGATGCAATTCTTGTAAACTCAAGGAAACAAGTGAACACAACTTGAAATGTACCATCAATCTACTTTGGTTAAAAATATTTTATTTWWTAGAAACTATACGATCATGGATCGCTTCCTGTAGCTGTGACAATGGGTTCACTGCCGCAATTGAGCTATAAGTATTTCATTTTCACGATACAGTCTTTGTTTGAAATAAGTCAATACAGAATTAAGTTAATATAAGTTATGTACTGCATCATATTTTTTACCGAACTGAACTCTAATTAACTTTGAATATCCTGTCTTTCTCAGTTTTCCAAAATAGCCAATCAGACTTTACGCTCTAAGAGCGTCTATATTATTCAAAATATGACAATTCCGTGAGATTTAAATAAAATTTGACCTGAAAGGTCATATAAACAATAGAACGGTACAGTCTTTGCAGTTTTGACAGTATTGTAACTTTGAGTAATATTTTGATCGTTTGAATCATGTGATATCTCGTAAGAACTATGACTTCGTGGACCGGCACGTTCCTAAAGTTACGCTGAACATCTTTTACGTGAGCCTACCACGAACGACGTGTGAGAAGATAAAATCCGTAAAATTAGTAAGTGAGATTAGCGTTCTAGGGTTTATTTCCTTCATTTTCTTGATCATATTGCTTTTCTTGGTCACAAACTAGGTCACAGTAGCTATAAAATGAAGCTAGATATCGCGATCAGGCCACGAGGCCGACTGATGTACCAAACAATACATGTCAAAAATAAACGTAAGCGCGGATTGGTTTAGTTTGACATCCCCATGAAAACCGAGACTGCAGACCATCTGAAGCCCAATATTCACGACGAAGAAAAGTCCACTAGCATTTTTAGACTAGACATTTCTAGACATTTTTACTAAAACATCTAATCATTCTGATTTTAAAGCAAAAAGAAACTTTCATCTTTATTCTTGTCTTGGTATGAAAATTTCTTGATTAATATTACTAAGACGTATTTCAAGATCATAMATGGACGTTGCGTCCAGCCCTTACCCAGTCGAATCGTCTTAACATCGATCTAATCATCATTTTMATAATCAAATCACAGGGAGGGCATCAAGCTCACAGTTGCAAATGTCAATGGAAGACCTCCTTCAAGATGGCACAAAAGGTACATTATGTTACATGTTTAGTAGGTCACTAGTATAAGACATGGCAAATCTAAAGTTCTTAGAGATGACGTCATACGATGAGATAATGAGACGTTTCTGGAGACGTTTGATGGATCCATGTAGTGACGTCATCAGGTTCACATGCTGCTGTGGSCATTCTTTTTGACTGAATACAGAGATAAGGCTTTATAAATTATCTGTTGATAATGTGCTGATTCCTTGAGAAGGAAGCAGCCAATTAGCGCGAAGCTAACATTATCAACCTGTTAACATAACCCCGAGCGGAAAAAATTGTCTGTAAAAACAAGACCCACCGGGGTAGGGTAGGGTAAAAGCCATCGTCTTTTCGATCATTCGCCAATGAAATTGCAGTGAAATAGTATTRGTATTCTTCTATAACTTCTGACAATCAAATCAAAAATATTTAAATTTAATGTCATTGATAAAAGCCTCAATGTGTAAAATTTTGTTGCTTTAAAGCGGATGAAGAAAAACATACCTTCCCACAGTTAACTTTGAAGTCTCTTGAGGCTTGTTGTTGATACAAGATAGCTCAAGTACGTTTTTACGTTTTGACCCGCTCAACACAAATATAGCTCATGGAAGTGAAGTAAACTGCCAATAATGAATCAAAAACTCGTTTTGAGTTCGTTTACTGGTTTTGAAGTCATTCCCAGACCCTTTTGAGCAATCTCCRTTGAACTATTGGTCGCAGGAACAGGTGTCCAAAAGAACTTAGAACTTCCATGCGCATGCAATGCATCATCCAATAAGAAACGTACAGGAATTAAAGGCATTTGTTGAACGAAGCTCAACACGTAAAAACACTGTACGGTAACGATTAACAGTATTTRTTTGAAGAAATAAGCGCTCATTCACCTWAAATTCTATATGTRAAGTTTTAGTATGAAAACAACTATACGCAAATATCCGAACTTTGCAACTGACTTGTCCAATCMAGTGCAAGACGTCATTGCTCTGTTTTATGTAAAATAGCTGAAACTTTGCACAAATTTGTATTTTTATGTCGCATTTGAGTGCATAATTAGCTCGATGCTTTATTTAAATGAACCCAGGACACGAGACTCAACACAACTAGTGACCTGRTCACACCACAGTTATGTTGTGTAATCCAGCGCATGCCCATGCAAGTTCGTCTGGACTCTTTTATCCCGCGACCAGCAGTTCAACGCAGCGGGCTAAAAAGGTCTGGGACTGGGCTGCTAGTATGCCAAAAGTGACTTATCTGCTATGTTGGAAATATGCCGTTTTGTTTGACGACTATAAGGAACTATTAAAAACTGAGTATTTGACAGTTAGACCTCGAGGGCAAATGGACTGCTAGGGAATAGACCGTGTGGACTATTATTTTTCATTTCTAAACTTCAATTAGTTTAAAATTTTCATGATTTCGGGCAAAGTGTTTGGRAGGGCAAGAAATTTATTCACTATTTAATATTTGTTGTTTTCTTCATTTGCTATTTACGGTTTTGTATATTATACAGGCCGCTGGTGGATCGTGGGCTCGGCTTGGAGTGGACGAAGTGAAAACAATAAAACGTGTACGTCAACACCGCAGTGGAGTTCGCAGCTACTTGAACTTGCAAGTAAGCAGGGTATGAACACTGATGTCAGAAGAACTATCTTTTGCGTTATGATGACCAGCGAGGTAAAGTGATTTGATTCGCCGTATTTCATTTCAACTTCATGATTTACTTGCGGAATTCTATTTATCACTCAGGACTATGCTGATGCCTTTGAGAAATTATTAAAGTTGAAGTTAAAAGACATACAGGCACGCGAAATTATACATGTGCTACTTGATTGCTGTTTAAAGGTATGTAAGTCAATCTTGGTGGGCTACTTGCCGGGCTTTTTTTGATGCGTTATCGATTTTGACTCCATTTTGTTTGGGTAGGCGCAAGTCTCGCAAAATAACAAGGATACCGTATTTACTCGAATAGACGCCACGGCGTTTATTTCATTTTTTACGATCCAGCTGCGGCGTTTATTCGGGGGCGGTGTCTATTCGGAGGCGGCGTTTAGTAAAAAGACACTTTATTCAGTACTACATACCGTACTTTATATTGTATCTTTTTACTCACAAACAGTAACGAATCTCAATATATAAATGTCGTTTTGTTTATTCAATTTATGATTTTAACCAGAGTTAAACTACTATTTCAAAATCAATGTCCTAGTCGTGGTCGGAAACTAACATCTGCTGAGAGGAAAAAGTACAGTCACTTCGAAATAAAAAATGCTCTAAAAGAAAATAAATTTTCCATTGCTGGTATCATGATTTCCYCAAATTGATGCCGCAACCAGGTGCGGCGTCTATTCGGGGACGGCGTCTATTAATATTTTGAGCTTTAAGTGCGGCRTTTATTTGAGGGCGGYGTCTATTCGGGGACGGCGTSTATTAATATTTTGAGCTTTAAGTGCGGCGTAAATACGGTACAATGAGAAATCGAAGTCAAATATTTCCCGTTGAATTCCAATTCTAAAAGGACCATTAATTGCAAACGTTAGATATAAAAAGGAGTGAAGGGGCCAGTTTTGAAGGACTTACTTGATCTAGGGAGCGAGTAAACTCATGAGAGTGCTTTCCATTTAGGCAGAACTGGCCGGCCAGTCCACTSTAYTTAGAGGTATATAATGCTTTTTGTCATTTTTCAGTCATTTCGAGGTTTTYTGTAGAATAATGGATAGAATTTGAAAATTTGAAATTCCTAACTAAATGGGAATTATATTTTTTCTGGGTCTGGCCAGCCAGCTCTGACAAATGGAAAGYGCACTCATTTTTAGTTCTCCATACATTTCTTGGTTATTTTCYGGGTCATCGGCGCGTGATGCGCATAAGATATACAAAGAAATGTATGAAGACTAAAAAATGAGTTTTACTCTCTCCCTAGATTATCTACGTCCTTCAAAACTGGGTAGATAAATCATTTTCGTAATATCCAACGTTTGAAATTAATGATTCTTTCAGAACAGGAATTCAACTGGAATTATTTGACATCTATTTCACACTTTATCCTTGTTATTTTGCGAGACTTKGTCTACCCAAATAAAATGGCGGTCAAAACCGTCACGTCAACTATTTTCATGTGTTTTACAGGAGAAATCTTTCAACCATTTTTATGCCTATCTGGGGCAAAAGTTTTGTGAATACAATCGATCCTTTCAGGTAATAAATATGATCAGACTGAGAACGATAGATGCTTTATAAAACTCAAAATCTTGAAAATGTCCTCTAGTAAATAATTATATTTATAAGTAATAGCATGGCTCTGAGGGAGATTAGGGATTAAATGTCCCTGAAGCCGAGGGCAGATAAGTTCAAGTTGGACTTTTACTTATCTGCCCGNACCTCGGATTCTTTTGTCTTCCGAGAGATGTTTACAAGCGAACATCACTCCCTCATGAATAGCATGAGGGACGATTACTAGTAACTTCAACGATTACTAGTAATCGTCCCTCATGCATATAGCATGAAGGACGATTGCCAGTAATCGTCCCTCATGTTATTCATGAGGAACGGAAGCAAAAGGAAACCTTTGCTTCCTAGTAGGGACAACTGAATGTCCCTACAGCTGTCTTCTTTTTACCTCTGCAATGAACGGTCTCGTTATCGTCTCAGTCACACTAAAATGTGTGGTGATTTCTGGTTCAAATTGACCGAGTAGCTCTGGTTCCGAGTCACTACTTCGTACCGCTGAGCATGTGCACTTGACGAATTTCAATGTTTGATAATAGTTGATAGGCTTATTGGCATTATACTTGCAAATATAAAAACAACTTTTCGGGGTTGAAGTTAAGGTTCGTTAACTTCAGCATTGAATAGAACTGAAAAGCAATTGTTTAAAAGTTCGTTGTGGGAAACCAGTAACAATGGTCGGATTACCAATATCATTTTGTACTGTTGTTCTTCGAAAAACAAGGGGCCATTTCATTGTGCATGAACGATACGCTTGAGGTACTTTGGTCACAGCACTGTTTCGCAGCTCGTTCTCGGTCGAAATGTTTACATAATTTACTTCTGATTAAAAACATTGGAGCATGCAAAAAAACAAGAATTCAAATTCGCTCAAGTTCAACTTCAATTTTTTTCCTCGGAAATCATGGTATTATTATATATAACGCGTTGTTGGCGAAATGGCCGAAGGTGAATTGAWTCGCTTGTCGATCTAGATTTTACAGTTAGCTAAAGTTGAGTTTATCAATGGATAGGAAAGGARGAATATCTAAATCAAAGTAAGACGAGATTTTTTTATTCGAAAATGAAAGTGGAGCATGGAAAACATAAAGTCAAAACAGCCTAAAGACTCAAAATTATAGAAGTTTTTCTCATTTAAGAAAGAAAACAAGTGTTGATCTATCAACATCACATAAAGACATATAGGAAGATTAGATGTTCGCTGCCAAGGAGTTTGTAAAATTGACTGTGCGGGAACATAAACTCACTCGCTCGTTCGTTGTATCATACAAACAGCTCGGAAGTAAATCCCGTAACGCACTCTCCATGAAATAACCTATATTTCATTGAGCAAATTTTATTTTACTCACTCTGGCTTCATGCTTTCTTTATTTTCGAATGAAAAAGAAAAGCACAACTTCTTGAAGAGCAACATCTCTTTTTACTGTGCTTTTGAATTTTTTTGCTTTCGTGTTCATTGTTAAAGTGCGGGTACGATGAGATCCGAGGATAGGCTAGGATAGGGTTTTNATCAAAGTAAGACGAGATTTTTTTATTCGAAAATGAAAGTGGAGCATGGAAAACATAAAGTCAAAACAGCCTAAAGACTCAAAATTATAGAAGTTTTTCTCATTTAAGAAAGAAAACAAGTGTTGATCTATCAACATCACATAAAGACATATAGGAAGATTAGATGTTCGCTGCCAAGGAGTTTGTAAAATTGACTGTGCGGGAACATAAACTCACTCGCTCGTTCGTTGTATCATACAAACAGCTCGGAAGTAAATCCCGTAACGCACTCTCCATGAAATAACCTATATTTCATTGAGCAAATTTTATTTTACTCACTCTGGCTTCATGCTTTCTTTATTTTCGAATGAAAAAGAAAAGCACAACTTCTTGAAGAGCAACATCTCTTTTTACTGTGCTTTTGAATTTTTTTGCTTTCGTGTTCATTGTTAAAGTGCGGGTACGATGAGATCCGAGGATAGGCTAGGATAGGGTTTTTTTAGTTTTTGCTAGTTTATACTATAAATAATTCCATAAATAAGGTATTTTACAATTTTTAGATGAAGAGAACATGTTGAAATTTGCAAATATTGTCGTCGATTTTTGATCCGCCATTAATCGGCAGCCATCTTGGAAAATGAAGGCCGTTAGGGGCTGGTAGCGAATTTTGACGTCATATGCTTAACACGAGTGAATTTGTCAATATGAACTACTGTGTGAATCGGGGCCAATGTGAATCGAATGTTGTTTTCGTAATATTGCAATGTTCTTGGCACAAACTGTTATCTTTACGTTGTTAGCTGTAATGAACATTTATCACTGACTCCATACGTATATTCTATATGATGTTCCATCTCAGTTTTCTGTTTCTGAATGAGACGTGGCTTTCTGACAAGTTTTGTTGTCAAAAGCACAACATGCAAACAAGGCCGGTGAATGTTTGATTGCTAAATAATTATTTTTGAGATATTAAGATATTTTGAATTTCGTAATCTTGGTGATGCTACTGAATAGTTGGAAGAGGGAACTAATCGTTTATATGGATATAATCTTCAATTAGAGTTCAGTAATTTTATCGACATCAACTTGTATCGCTGTCTAATATCCGACGCACTGTTTTACAATTCTTCTCTCTATAGGCATATATGTTTTACATTGTAGTGTATCCGCTCTGAAACATTTAAACATAGATGGCGATTCAAAACATGTTTTGAGATCGGTGAATTATCACAGTACTTTATATTGACTCCCTGATCAAGCAAATATTATATAAGCTACCAATTTTCTTTCGCTTCTCAGCCCCAAAGGACAAAAAGTATGTCACTTTATCCATGTCTATTAAAACAAAACAATAACATCACGTGCGGTGATTATAATTTTGTACTAAGTTTAATCAACAGTTCAAAGCCGAACTTAGCTGTAGCATGACTGGAGTCTTAACTTGTGAAGATTCAAAAGAAAGTAAAATCTTACTTTTATGATAAACTTTAGGATGTCTACAAATCTGGGAATTGAACTGGCCGTGTGCTCCCCATCTCAATGAATATGTCTTCGAAGAGCGGATGGATAGTGTGTTTGTTATAGGCCGAAATATATAACTTTCAATTTTTTCAACGATTGCATTTGAACTCGGAAAGTCTCAGAGACAGAACAAAACATTTGATTCGATGCTCCTGACTTTGTTTCTTCATTATTTTGTACGCTTCAAACCTTCATTTCCCCTTAGTTTTGTATGTCTGAAGGACAACCTCGTTCCTGGGTTAAGCATATGACGTCATATGCTTCACGTTTGGGTAAAACCGCCAACCGATCTCACTTCGGCTCAGATTAATGGCGGATAGGAAAAACCGAGTTTCAAAGCTCGATTTCTCCTGCTTTTTAATGATGTATCGATAAAAAAATTATCAGAAATACTTATTTGGATCTTCATAAAGAGGTATATGTACAAAAACAGCTCAAATTCGATGTTCGGTTTTCATCGTACCCGCACTTTAAACTATTTAACTGTAGAAATGAGTCAATTCACCTTCTATTTTTCTTTATTTATGTAGATACCGTAGCATGTTAGATAGATACTTGCATGTGGTCAGTCATCGATGTCATTTATTTATACTAAATAATGAATACTAAATCCGCGAAACTAAAAWACTACCAAATAGCTCTAAATTATGCCAATTGCTTTGTGGCCCTATTGTCTTATACACATTATTCAGTAATAACTAGTAATATTTGATGCTTTGATTGGTTCATTAGAGTGATCGCACTTTTAAAATCKTGCAATTGTACAAACTAAATAGGGCCATTTGGTTGTWTTTAGTAAATCGTGCATGCTGTACGCAAATGAAACTGAATTGATACAAATGAAGCATTCAATACCGTCTTGCTTCAGGTCCACCTTTAGTACAAATTAGTATTACTTAGATTTATACAGTTGCACGGTTTACTGAGTGCGATCACTTTAGACTTTTTTTCTTTATCGGTATTTTCGAAATCCGTGCACCCTAAAACAAAAAGTGATAATTATTTACCCGTGGAATGTGGTTTTCTTTGTCAAAATATTGCACTTCGTACTATACGTTTTTTTTTAGCGCAATATTTTTACGCAAATGCGTATTTTACTGGTTTCTGTGAAAATATTGATGCGGTTCGGCACTGAAGACCATTGATATTGTGACGAACAAAATGTGCTTGATGCCTATGCCTTCACTCTGAGGTTTATTATYCTGAGTTTTATTATTATATAGCTTTATAATGGACGGTTTTTCTTTATTCTTTATTTCAAAAAAATGGGGTGACAAAAGCCCGCGCACAAGCACCTAAATATTTTTTAATRAATAATGTTTAATATTTGAGGTAGACGAATTCGCAAGTTAGGCTACATTKGTTCCAATTATTGTAAATATATGTTCCATATGAAAGTGATCGATTTAGTTTCTTTWAAAAAAATGTTATTCTTCGGTAAAAATGAAGGAAAAGTGGATGGGATGACGCTTTAAGCTTACAGTGTATGCACACAAAACTAATCGAAAATCCATGCGAAGAAATAGCACGGGCATCTAGCGTAGATGTCGTTAAATATGCATTATTGAAAAATGATAAAAAAGCGAGGTTCTTTAAAAGCGAACTTTGTTCATTCAAAATACGTACCCTGCCGTACGTAAAACAGGAAGCCCGTATATGTTAACAATGACGATGGTAGSCAAGAAACGTGTTTTCATATCGCCACGATAATAGGTCGCTTGCCTCACAGATGGTCTCCATATACGATGGATGTTTACAGCACCCATTGCATTAGGAAAAGCATTACAGCTATTTYTAAATGTTGCCCACTTCGCCATCGAATACTCAGGTTTCGAAGTTAAGACTGAACATATAAKATCTCGAAACTGGAGTATTTGATCTCTTTTAAGGAAATTCATCTTAAAAGATGTACCATAAAATGGGAATGATGTGGTGAACTTCGTCACTAACTGTTGCTATGCTTATTTGAAATAGTGGACAAACCAGCTYTTCTCTGATGTCTAAGCCATATTAATGCAGCCTAAATACAATTTTCAACAACAACATTCAACAACTAGAAAAAACACCGTATAGTGCGAAGTGCAATATATTAACAAAGAAAACCACATTCCACGGGCAAATAATTATCACTCAGTTTTGTCTTGGGGTGCGCGGATTTCGCAAATTCCGATAAAGCAAAAAGGTCTTTTACATAAAGACGAAAGTATTTGCTTGTAAGTTGTGATAATTTGCTCTCAGTTCGCCATCTTACCGAGTCATTCTGAACGCGTCATGACGATGCAACGCAAAAAGTGTGCGCGATAGATTTATCGTTAGGCAAGGATTACAAAAAACTGGTAGCAGCCTTGACCGAATTTTGTTTTTATCTTGTGATTTCTGTAGTAGTGTAGCCGATATTYCTGTTATTCCTACCCAATCATTTACCTTTTCTATCATCGCTGTCACTCGCTGGTGATTATATCTTCTCTTTTCACGCGCGTAGGGAATAAACATGGTTTTATTGGTTGTAGGTCACCTTTCAATTCTCGCTCTGGGACAAGTTTAAAGTCATCGAATCTCTTAAACCAAACTGTRTCCACAACATGACTTTAATTCTAGGCCATCTTGTTGCTAGTAAAGCATTGTCTCTGTCAGTACTTAAGGTATGTCACATTAGTTTTGGTTAGTCGCTGCTTGACCAAACAATAAGCCTTTTTCCAGTACAATGCGAGCGACCGCTGTTTTAGTAGAGAACAGACTCAYTTGCGTAGAGGACAAAAGAAAGAACGAAAAAATATTGACATTACAATATCTCTAGAAATTTGAATCTTCTCCGATTCGAGGCTTAGCCTGAGCAATACGTTGAGCCGTCTGGGAATACAGACCTAGYGCTATTGTAATGACAACATTTTTTGTGATTTCTTTTGTTTTTGGTCAGGTCTCATGAGAGACTGTTGTCAACTAAAGCAGCGGTTGTTCGCTTTGAACTGGAAAAAGGAGTATTACTTTGTTTTCTCAATTACGAAATCTACCTGTACGGAACCCACCCCCCGTTAGTAACATTTGTACGTGTTTGTATGTTATTGAGCATGCGCAAGGAAGCACATGCATTCTACATTCAATATTCTGTATTCTGGAGCGGGAGAGATGTGTTGTAATTCTACAGTTGAGTTATTAAACATGTTAAAGACACAACGATCGTCTGCGATTTGACCTTAAATCGACATTCTTGATAAAAACATCGTACACTACCTGTGTTGTCAGCCTGTGACACGTGTTTCGTCTTCTCCGAGGTCCTGTTGAAAATTTCTTGAACACGATTAAAAAAAAATCTTCGAGCGACTTTGTAATATCCTATCTATCTTTCATTTTAATTCCCAAATATTTCTTTTGATAGGTTGTCGATTTTACGAATCTCGAGAGACCTTCTATCCGATTCTTCAAGCAGTTCTTTACCCATTTTTTAGCTGAATACCCAAGCGAAATTGTAAGGTATGTGTCTCTTTTGTAAAATAGTAATGTATATAAGGTGCTTTTACAGTGTGCAAGTTGTCTTTTAACGCTGCGACACAGGTTGTAKAGAAAATTATAGTCATGTTACATTGTGCGATTTACTCCAGCAACTTGTTATATTTTTGGATWAAGGGGGATGGGCCAAAATCAAGATGGCGGAATTTCAAAAAACAAAAAGAGTTGCGAAACGACCCCTAATACACCAACGAAATTACGAGAAAAGTTGCTGAGAAACTTGTACAGTCTAATACGACCTTTACGACTGAAAGTKGTGGGATCAACAGGATCCGCGGCGGTGCGTGCGCATCTCACGATAACCTGGATGTAGTGATTTGATATCAAATTCCATACCAAATTTTTCGATGAATGTTATTGTCTGATCAAAAGAATATGCTTATTCGCGGAAGAAGCTGAAAACACATTGACAATAATTAAATAGATTGCTTAAAGTGCATTACGATTTTGTAGCGTTACACAGGTACTCAGCGTGCAGACGAGCAAAACAGTTATGATTCGCCTGCACACAGGGTATACACAGGCAACCCAAGCAATGCAGGCCTCTAGAGCAAAATTCTTGATTACCATGAAATGATTCTGGTAATCGTTTCGCTCAAGATGTAAAATACATGTATGCGTTGGCCACATTTAGCTGGTACTCAAAGTTTCTATTTATCTCATTGAACACTTCGGATAGACATGTAATAAATGGCAGGCATGGCTCTTTGAGTCTACAATACTCGTATCACTCCCCTTAACAAGCGTGTTTATCTCCGAGTTCCTCTGTTTTGCTTCAGTTGTTTATTAATTTGTTGGTTTATTATTGTTCATAACAGAAAATCATTTGAAAGAATCTCTACAATCCCTGGTCTATTACATCTCCGACAAGGCATAGCCATCTTTATTCGCCACTTCATRTTGAACAAATACGCCCAAGATAACGAAAATATCAGGAGTATTATCGGATTACTTCAGACTGGTAAAGACTCAAACGTGTCAGGATCAGGCTTATAACATGAAATCTGTATACTGCCATCTCAGAGCTAGAGGAAGACCTAGCTACTCCCTGATCTAAAACTCGCCCGCCGTAAGTTTGGGCGACTTTAAGCGGTGAAGGTGATTGACAAAAAGTGCCCAAAACCTAAGGCGATTTTGGACGATTTTAGGTCCTGGAGCAAGCTTAAAGGATATTACATGGGTGCGTGGAGATAAAACAAAAAACAATGACAAGAAGATTCAAATTCGTGTCTTCAAGCGACCATGTCAGTAAAATTCTATTTGTTATATGATGAATCTAAGCAATTGATCAAAAATTATTTATTTGAATAGCAAACTGAGTTACTATGCCAACAGCGATATCTTCCCATGTCAAAGATAGGATGTCTTAGAGAATCTGTTTATCATATAATTATCAGTGAAAGCAAATTATGCTTGGAATTAAAAAAAGCATTTTATTACTTGTTTTTTTACAAAAATCGTTGTTATTGACAAGCGCCTATCTAAACCAGCCAAATACCTTTAATCGACTCTAATCTACATAACCATGAATCGCCCTGGTTGCATTTTTATAAACAAAGAATATTTCTTTTTTCCTCGACAATAGACCTCTGCAGCTTTTACGTCATGTACCGTATACGCAATGCATTGTAGGACATGTTTGGGACAAAACATGCCGGATTTCTTTTGTTTTCTCTTGAAACTGATCCCACAATGCATTGAAAATCAAGTAGTGACGTAAAAGGTTCAGAAGTCTATTAAAGTGTGCAATAAGAAATCTTATTTATGCAGTCTTAAAGGGACATGGTCCACCAGCATCCCTTTCGAGCTTTTGTTTATCTTTGAAAATAGAAATACATCGTAATGTAAGCAAAAACTTACTCTTTATTATTCCTTTATCCTATATGAATGGAGATGCTTTAAGATTCGACCGTTGAACCGATGGATGGAAACGGATTGCAAATGGATATTCGAAGTCACCTCATTTTCCATATATGAAAAATCTAAAACACGACCGCATTGCATGCTAGTGGACCATGTCCCTTTAACCTCGAATGCATGTAGTATTTATTCTTTTATTCAGCAGACTCGGCACACATTTCGAAACTGGAGTATTCTTACACACGTTTTCATTGGCTCATCCAATTAAAAAAGGTTTATTAACCTGTCACGAAGAATGAGTGAAACKATCGAACTTTAAAATAATTGGTATATATTACACTTTTTTGATGAGAGTAAAGCACGGCACTCTCCCTGAACTTATCGGATAGATTGTATGGCTTGGCGAAAACTTGATATCGAAGGCAACTGCTTCACACGCCAAAATCTGTAACTCTCGTTACGGGCCCTGTTCACACTACGACATAAGCATGTCGAACAAAAGAAAAGACAAAGGAATGAAGTCAAGCGTGCATCGATATAAGCATAGCAATAATAATAATAATAATAATAATAATAATAATAATAATAATAATAATAATAATATGTGGTATTTATATAGCGCCGATATCATCTGAGTTCACAGGCGCTTCACATGTATAGATCATTTCACACGGACCGCAATTGGCAGCCACGCGGCTTACAATCATGAGGGGTTAGTAATTAGTATGGGTTAGTAGTAAGGCCTAGCCACACACACCGGGAATCATTCCCTACTCTTATGCGAACAGTGGTGTGGGTTCTTTAACGTCCCTCTAATACAGGTTAGTGAGTGAAGTGTAGAGAGACGGGACCTCCGATTTTACGTCGTTATCCTAGAGGACGCGAAGATCTTACCATTTGCAGATGGAGAAAGACAAAGGCAGCAACTTCTCAATTATTTTAAGACCCTGAGTGTTKGTCCRGCCGGGGTTTSAACCTGCGACCTCCCGCACTAAAGTCCGATGCTCTACCTACTGAGCTAACCGGTCGGCGGTAAGTAACATAAGGCAAGAGCATAAAGCAAGTAACATAAGGCAGAGCATAAGCTAATCAAAGACAAAGGAATAAACGGAGAAAACACCTTCCTTTTTGTCTTCTTTAATCCCTTTAAAAACCCTTTTTTAATGGACCTTGTGCTTATGTTGCAGCTGGCCCTAAACCACTTTGTATTTATACACAATCACAAGAACAACATAATGAATGTTTGTTTTCTTTTAATAGAATTAACAATGAACCGAGTATAACTCTCGTTAAACCACTTTGTACTTTGCATTCACAGATGAAGCCGTCATTTTACAACTATTTTCTAATAGCAAGAAAATGAATATCATTGTTGAGCAAATGCACTTTTGTTTGTCCTAGGCTGAATTTAGAMGTTAGGTTTAATAGCGCAAAAAATGTGTTTCATGTGAACACACTAAACATAATTATCTAGTGATATTTATTCATTAAAACACATTTTTTACATCTTTAAACACGTGAGATACAGCATTTTTCAGTTTTTATACTTTTTCTAAGTTATCTGATATAATATGTAATGCGGAATTGAATAGGGAATTTTTCCCTGTTTCTTTTTTTAACAATATATAGTCGGCTCTCCTAGGGATTTCATTATCATTGATTTTGTTGCCTCAATGTATTTTCACGGTTTTATGGCAATATATAGTATATTCAGCATAATATGGCAAGAATTTCGTGTTTCTAT